TTTAGAAAACTATTCCTTAACTTTCAACCAGATGATACCTTACTTTAAAAAGAAAACTTGTAGTTTATAAAAAAAAAAATGATAAATGATGGATAATATACCTGAAAGACTTGGCTCTCATGACTCAATAAGATTCCCTTCAAAATTTGCTAAAATCTGCATTTGTCATTATCCAAACTGTTTTTGTAGGTGGGTGAGAGAGGGTTTATTTTGCCGTCTCACTGTGTGTGTGGACAAATTCATTGTTCATTTCCAAAAATGCTAAATTTGGTTATATCAATTCCAACAAGCATATCCAGCAGTGAATCTTGAGCACTATAGAACTGTGTCCAGCAACTAGGATGTCTTTATTGAGACTGAATTTGAAGACTATTGCCACAACCTTTCTGGATTTGCTAGATATAAGCCCTAGATTGGTGTATGGTTTGGACACATTCACCTTGGTTTTGATTCACTAAATGCATGCATGGTGTTTTTCAACAAATGTTATCCATTTTGTTGATGATGAATTTCTGTAAGAGAATATAGTGATGATAATTAGTAAAATTTTCTCTTTCAATCATATTTTTTCTATTTATAAAATTTGAATTCAGGATGTTTGTATCAAAAAATCGAATATAACAATTTGTTATTCTTCACTTCCACCACTTTGAACTAAAAAATGAGGGTAAATTTTTGAATTGTGTAAATTAAATCTCAACATTAATAGAGTATTGCACTAGCCAAAGTGTGTTGAAAAAAAGTGTCATTATGTACCATTTGTTTTTTCTGTTGTCTCAAGACAGATCTAGGTTAGAAAAGAGTAGTTTGTTTGTTTTCAAGACAAAAACTTCTGTGTTTAAAGTCACTTTTTCTGAAGCCAAAATTTTTACTTCCTATAAAATGTGGTTTGGGGTGAACTATTTTTTTTTTCTTCTTCAATGTGATGTGTGTCTAAATTAATTATAATATAGAATGACAAGTTCTATATAAGAAAAGACAGAGTTGTTTTTGTTTTTTTTCTTTTCCCTTTTATAGTAATAGTTTACATTACAATAATAAAAAAAAAATAATAGTGTACACCAGCATTCAATAATGTTATAACAAAAGATAAGAAAATCCAATTAGAATAGAAGTTTACTAAATCAAATTAAATCCAACAAAGTCTATGTAAAAGATAAACCAAATAAAACAAACTTATTCTAAATTAGATAAATCTCTAATTACAAATTAACCATAAATCAAACACCATAATTAACTAGGAAATCAAAATCTTGAATTCATAAATCAAATAACTTGCCAAGTTGCTTAAGTTGATTCTTAAAATAAGCAACTTTAAAATGCCCTTGAAACAAAAGTTTTTTTATTATTTATTTTTTTTATAGAAGTTGTTCATATATATATATATATATATATAGATAGATGTATAGATAAAAAAATCTGGTGAAGTTTTTTTTTTAAATAGATGAAACTGATATTCATTTCAAATATAAAAGTGGCACAAGGAATAGCATTACAAAATATTTAAATAAAAAAGTAACAATTGGTACACTTCTAAACTAGTAAAATTTAAATGTAGATGCAGTATAGCCAGTGACGAATGTAGAAATTTTAGATAGTGGGGACAATAATTATTTATATATTTATAATGTTAAAAATTTTACATATAACTTTTAAAAGTATAAATATATATCATAATTATTTTTTACAAATTTTTATAACTATGCTTAGATTAAAGATGAAAATAAGTTAAGTCAGACTATGTTATATTATAATTTAGTAAGTTTGAACCTAAATTTTTTTAAAATACATGTCCTAAATATGACTTATTTATCTATCATAGACATTTTTTTTAAATATTTGGTTAGAACTACAATTCTAAAAATATACTTTATAATAATTTAATACTAATAAAAATATAAAAATAAATATTTTAAGTTGTATAAAAGTGAAGTTTAATTTATTTATAATATAAACATGTTTTTAATATCTAAAATAATATTTTAGATAATAATTTATTTCAAACATATTTTATAATTAAAAATTTAAATAGAATATAAATATTCCAATATTTTCCATTTTGATTTTTTTAATCAACGTATAGAATCTTACAATCCTTACTATTTTAATTTTTTTAATCAATGTATACATAAATAAAAAGCATAAAAGGTAAATATATATGTTACAAATTTTATTTTATCAAAAATTAAACTTTTTAAAAAAATTAATTCGTTATTAAAAAATATTTTTTTATCACATATAAGAAATAATCTTCTTAAAAAATTTGATAAATATCAAATAAATTAACAACTCTTTTAAACTTGTATTTTATAATATCAATACACAAAAAAAAAACTTGTATTTTATAATATGATAATTTAAATATATATGTTTCTTTAATTAAAATATAATTTTTATTTTTAAAAATATATTATTTTTTGGATTAAAAAAATGTATTGGAAAATGGTAGTGGGGCACATGCCCCCACTCTTCCCCACGTGGATCCGTGCCTGAGTATAGCAATTCCTATAATATATTAAGTAAAAATATTCTCTATCTTTTTTATTATTAAAGATTTAAAAACCTAACTGTAACTCTTCCTGAAATATTCATCATCTTCATTTTATTAATTTTTCCAAAAGTTTAAAAAATGATAGAAATGGAAGGAAAAAGGAAAGAGAGAATCTATTTTCTTCTGAATTATTACTGCCATACAATATATTACATCCCAATCATTTAATCAATTTTTCCACCAAAACTATATAAAAACAATAATCACTCAACTGTAAAAGGATATATTTTTATGCATTTAGTGTCAGGTTTAATGATCTGAGATATAGAGGATGATTTAGATTTTTTCCAATACAAGCTTGGTTTATATATACTGTGAGTAATATTTTTAGTAAATTTAAAATACTTTAAATACTATTACAAGAAAGTAAATTAAAACTTAATAAAATTTTACAAAATTAACTTGTAAGCTAAAAAAATATCCTTATTTATATATTTTTTATTCTCTTTAATTTTAGTTAATATAAGATTTTAATTTTTTTAATACACTCTCTCATATTTAATATTATTAAACTAAGTCATACATAAATAATTAGTCATCCTTCTTAATGATTAAACATAAATAAGATTTTGATTTTTCTCCATAAAAATTATCCTTACCTTAGACAATCATCAACATTTACAATTCACTTGGACATTTCCATCTCCTTATAATTTTGATATCAAAGAGCTACATCCCTATATGGTTTTGTGCCCTTATATCCAATCACTAAAAAAAAAAAATATCATGTAATAAACCATTTTATAGTAATATAATACTTGCTATTAAAATTTATTTTTATCTATATTATAAATATAATATATTGATAAAAAAATGTGGATAAATACTATAATGACATAATATATATAATTAAATCTTATTTAAAATTAATACTAAAATTATGTATAATTATATATCAAATAAATTTATATTTATATAAATTATATTTATAATGACACATTTCGCATCTCATTATATACACATTTCTTGTAGTGAATAATCCAACAAAAATACATACAAGGATATGTTATCTTTAGAATCTTGAATTCAGAATTTTTAATTCCAATAAAAATGGTTGAGCGAGATCTATAGAAATCTTAGATATCTTGCAAAATTGCTGAGCTAATAATATTTAACAATTGGATGTGTATATACCACAATATCACCTTTTTTTCCCACAAGAATATGTTTTTCTAATTAATTTCAACCAGGAAGAAAAAAATCAATGAACTAATATTCAAAGGTTTAATGAGGGCCATAACTCTGTTTTTGTTATTCCAAATTAAAATCACAGTTTTGACCTAAAAATGAATCGACCTGTTTATAACTCATTGATTGAAGAAGAAAAATATTAATTATAAAATTAAAATAACTATCATAAAATGAATACAAAATGTGATATCATAATAAGAAAAATATATAGATATATCAAATCTTCTATAAGAGGATTTGAATAATTTATTATATAAGAATAAATAATAAAATATTTAAGTAATTTAAAAAAGATTATGGGTTAAATTTTATTCTCATCCTTTTTCACCAACAAGTTGTAGACTTAATCTTCTTAAAAAAACAAAAATATCAAATTCAGATCTGGAAGTTGAAAAAATGTGATATTGGAAAAAAAAAATCTTAAAAAAAGTATTTAGTCAATTTTTTCAATAGAAATTAATCATCAAAATTGATAGTTGAATAAATATTTCGTCCAAATAATATAACTTGACAAAAAAAAATCATCCTTATCAAAGAAAAAAAAAAGTTATACAGAGAAAAAGGGTCATTTTTCCCTTTTTAATTGACAAGTTGGCTCCTTAGATATTAACCCAACTACACATTTAAACAGGACTAATGGAATTTTAAGGCAGGCTTATTTCCCACTTTCGTGGGATTGTTTGGAAAAAAAAAATTAACTCCACATTTAAAATTTAAAAAATTATAAAATTCAATCTCAAAATTATACATATTTATAAGATATTAGTCTTTATGTTATGCACGAAATATTTTAAGCCAAATATATATTATAACATTTAGTTAAATTATAATCAAAATTTTTAAAATGATTTTTTGTAGTTAACTATTATTGATAAAAATCAAAGAAATAATTCTTTATTTTTTTATTACTCCTATAAGCATTTAATTAATTAAATCGAATACTTTTAATTTTGTTAACTATAATTAAGGGAGGTTAATATAATGTTTATAGGGTGTTAGTGCAAATAATTAAGAAGTTATTACAAAGGTAAAAAAGAAAAGAAGAGTGTTTGTAAAATCTCATGAAACTTCAAGAAATATTATGCAAAAGTTAATTTTGATGGATTCTAATTTTGAAATCACCCTATCGGAGACATTGATTGGACAAGTACGAATCCCAATTTTTATTATTGTTTTAGAGAGAGCAAAAATAATGGATTCTATATGATTCTGGTACGGGTAAGATTATATTGAGATCTAAGAAAATATAGTTTTTGATTATAAAATGGTGAAGGGGCACACCAAATATCTTGTGAGTTGTGACAAGAGCTACTCCAATATAAAAAAAGGTGTGTGTTCTTCCTTCCTTAACAGGTGAAGTGTTCTGCAATCCTAGTACCCTTCAGATCTTTCCCATTACATCCTTTTCCATCTTCATATGCTGTCACTGACACTGTTACAGAACAAGACAGTGCCTACTCCATCATTCCAGGGTTGTCTCATTCTTCCAGTGTCTTCTCATTTCACTTGCTATTTGTGAAACTGCACACCCTTTTGAGCAAGTTACTTTTTTTCGTTGTTATTGAGAGATGGAAATGGAAGCTTTTTTATGGGGTGATGACATTGATGGAGATGCCCCTAAGGGGAAAAGTGATGGTTTTGGAGGGAACAATGGGGTAATTGGAAGTGGGTGTGGTTCGTCTTTCTCTCTGGTTTTGGATGGGGAGAGAGGGGAGCTTGTGGAGGCACCTGTGAAGTTGGAAAGGAAAGGGGTGTCCACTGAGAGAAGCATTGAAGCTTTGAAGAGCCATAGTGAGGCAGAGAGGAGAAGGAGGGCAAGGATAAATGCACATCTTGATACACTTCGCAGTGTCATTCCAGGTGCTATCAAGGTTTGTTCAATATAATGCTATTTTATTCTTCATTCTTGTTTTCCCCCCTTTTTCAAATGGTTGAGAAAGTGTTTAAGAGCCTGTTTGAATATAAGTTTGTAATGTTTTTGAGAAATTTTTTACCGAAAGAAACTCTTTATTTTCAGAAGTTCTCCAAAACTCTTCTGGCCTTATATACAAACAGGTTTTAAGTAGTGAATAATGTTGAACTAAGGTAGTCATTTAATTGAATTGGGTAATAGAAGTCAAGGGTGAATGGTTATGATCTATATTTTACTTTGTCTGCTTTTGCTGGAAATTGGAATGTAAGCATGGCTTGACAAGCCACAATTTAATGGATTTGGTACCTATCATGTCTTTATGCATCTGCATTAGAGCTTTAACTAGAGGTGTATTTCTTGAGAAACTAAATTCATTAGCATTCTCTTCTGCTTCCGTTACCATCTCAGTATGTGTTAATGAAGTGTTGGTAGCTTTAAATTTTGGGATGTAAACTATACTAGTTGATGGTATAAAGAAAACCATTTAGGTTCTATTTGGTTAAACTTCAAAAACACATTTATGAGAGAAAACTAATAAGGAAAAATAAAACAAGTTTCTTTATAAACTAAAATTAACTTGTAGAAGTTAAGCACAAGCTAATTTTAATTTATGAAAAAGTTTATTTTGATTTTCTTTTTCATTTTTAACTTCTAAAAGTGTTTTTAGAGAAGTTTATTCAATCAGACTTTTAGTAAGGTAAGATACTTAGTTGTTGCACTTGATTGTGAAGGACTCAATTTGAGTTTTCTTCCCTGAAAGAGATATGGGATGAGAGGAGCTTGATATTAATTAACTATCCAACTTAGTTGTGCTTATAGTTTGATTTATGAAGCTCATATATCAGTAGAAGTGAACATGTTAAAGAATTTATTCATAGTTTCAAAAATTTGAGTTCTCTTTTCTTTGGACATACTGACAGATGGACAAGGCGTCATTACTTGGCGAGGTTATTAGACATTTGAAAGAGCTTAAGAAGAATGCAGCACAAGCATGTGAAGGCTTGATGATTCCAAAGGACAATGATGAAATAAGTGTTGAAGAACAAGAGGGTGGGTTGAACGGTTTTCCTTATTCAATTAGAGCATCACTATGTTGTGAATATAAACCCGGGTTATTGTCTGATATAAGACAAGCACTAGATGCTCTTCATCTCATGATAATAAGGGCAGATATTGCAACCTTGGAAGGCAGAATGAAGAATGTGTTTGTGATCATTAGCTGCAAAGAACAGAACTTTGAAGACGCCGCGTACCGGCAGTTTCTCGCCGGATCTGTTCACCAAGCTCTTAGGTCTGTGCTCAATAGATTTTCTGTTTCACAGGACCTGTTAGGAACCAGGAAAAGAAGGAGGATTTCTATATTCAGTTCTTCATCTTTGGAAGATTTCTTGTAATGTCACTTGTTAAGAATAAGTTAAATCCCCATATCTATACCAAGTTTGAATATGATGAGGTGGTGAGTGATATAGTTGTAGTAATTTCGTCATGGGCCATGTAAACTCATGTATACATAATGAAATGTTACTCTTCCATGATTTATAACGTGGACATGTACTTCTTTGAAGACAAATCATGTGAAAAGATAATGGGCATCTTATTTGGGGTGTACAAATATTTAGGTGCTTTGAAAAATTGGTTGATGGCTAATTGATCATAGTAGCATCTTTTAGTCTTTTGATCAAGACAAAATGGAGTCTTCTATGATATTGTACCTTGTTTATAGAAGGGTGACTATTGTTATGAATTGTTTTCAGTTAAACAATAGAAAGCAAAGAATTGTAATGTGTTATTTTGAAAAGAAAAAAAAAAAAAGTTGGCAATTTGACAAAGGTTTAGCAATGATTTCTACTAAATCCTATGCTTTTGACTGCAGGAAATTTTGACTGCTTAGGAAAAGAATGAGATGATTGTATGATCAAAAAACACCATAATTATGCATTGGGGTTATGGAAGGGTGTCAATTAAGTAATGGTTAAGAAGAAAAATGTGCTTAGAGTTTGAATTCTCTCTGCCCTGTTCTTAGTTTATATCTTGCTACTATAGTGCAATGAGGAAATAAGAACCATGAAACAGGTCAAAAAAGTAATGAACTCAATAATTGGTTGATGAAAGCTAAATACATATATTAAGATGCTTAAAATGATTTTACTATTGATTCACAATGCGTTGTTATTTCTCTCATCTTCTTATCCATCTACTAGTTTAATGAGTAACTTTTTCACTCTATTTTCCTTAAAATATAGTAAGATCAACTCAATGGTTATATTTCTGTTGAATACTTAAGATTTATATACACATATCTTTATATTAATATAATATTATTTATTTTAAATCTAAACTTTTATAATTTTATTTTTAATTATCTTCTACAAGGTTTCATGTCAATGAAAATCATTTTGGCATGATATTGCTAACTTTGAATATAAGTTTTGTTATTTTATTTTTGGTCATTTTCTAAAAGATTTTATATCAATATGTACTTTATAAATTTTTATTTTTTTACATGATTTGAAATTTTGTTTGTATCCAACCACCTTCAAGTTCAATAGGATTATCATTTATGTATATTTCTTCAATTTTTAAAATTTTAAAAAATAAAATAAAATGAAGATAATATTTATGTATTTTGTCTTTTAATATAAGTTAACCAGAAGATATAAGTACATATAACAGTGGGATTCAAATTCCACGTGGCGAGATACTACAGGCGAACGAGATTGTGCGTGGATGCATAGCAATGTTTTGGTGGTTCTCATTCCCACACTTGTCACGGTGTGTCCGAGTTGCACAACATGGCTCTGTCGTCGCCACTTCAGAACCTCTCCGCACTGATCGCTGCCAGCGCCAATGCCGCCGCAGCGCCGCCGAGAAGGCGGAGCTGGGCGGTTGACGCGGCGGCGTCCGACACAAGCACCGCGCCGGTGCAGTTGGGTGGGTACGAAGAAGGGAAGCTGGAGCGACCGAAGTGGGTTGGGGAAACCCCTCTTTCACGTTTGGTCCAAACTCTCATCTCCTTCAAGCCCCTTTACTCTATCCTCAAGCTTGGTGCTAGACGGGCTTTGATAAGGTTCTTCCTTCATCACATTTTCACAAGTTACTTACTTTCCTTCATTTTTTGCTTCTACAGTTGAAACATACATGTAATCAATTTTAGGAGATTGAAAAACTTACATTTTCTATGCACATTTTATCAGCTTTTGACAACGAAGTAGTAAATTTTATTGATCGAACTATTGAGTCGTATGATGTGATATTATGTTAATCATTGTGTATATCATCAAATTTTAGATGGCTGAATTAAACATTTGTAGATATGTAACTGCATAATAGGTTTTTTAAATTTGCTTAACAGTGTGTTTGGACGAGAAATTTTACAAATTCAAGGAATTTTAAATTCTTGGTATTTGAATTACTTTGATTTCAATTTCTATCATTTTTAAAATATTTTATTTGGATGAGTCAATTCAAATTTCTTAAATTTTAAATTGTTAGGTTGCATATGATAATTTTATTCCATCATAGTAAAATTGATTTTAAAAATATATTTATATGTTGAGATTTTTAAATTAAATTTTATAAAAATAAATATTAATCCATTTTTAAATATTTAATAATTTTAAAAATTAATATTAGATAATATTTAATAATTTTAAAAATATTTTTGAATATCCAATAATTAAAAGAATGAAGAGATAAGATAAAATATATAGGTGAAATAAGAAAAACAAATATGAGGAATTTCAAATTCTCCCATTTTTGGGAGAATTTGAAATTCTACTATTTTAAGGAATTTCACAAATGCTTGAATTTCAAATTCTTTGTAAATTCCTCATCCAAACAAAGCATTTCACCTCAAGGAATTTGAAATTCTTCAAATAAATGAATTACCCTATATAAATTTCTCATCCAAACACACCATTATTTTTATTTTAAGAGTTTAAGGTTATGCATAGACTGTATAAGGGTTTGTTGGTATAAATTTCTACTTAAGCTTTTAGGAGAAAAATATAAGAACGAAAAATAAGTTTTTTTATTAGCTAAAATTGGCTTATATATAAACCAATTTGTAGAAACTCTCTTGTATTAGTTCCTTCAAAAGCTTATTTTTAACTTGTACATTAGTTTTAGTTTATGGAGAATTTTATTTCATTTTTTTCCATCTTATTTTCTTTTTAAAAGTAATTATGGAGAAGTTTATATGAACAAGTCTTAAAACTGTTTTATATTGTCTACCAATCATAAATTATGGTATACATGACTTTTAAGTTATTTTTATAAATAAAAGAAATATTATACATGGTAATTTCTGATTGGATAACAATGAAAAAAATTCTTTATATTATTTTCTCATATATGTTAATATGTTATAGTAAATAGGTGCAATGAAATATCAATTTGCTATTATATTGTATGAAATTTTATAGATTTAATTTAATTTATGAGAGTTTTACATCTATAATTTTTTTTTTGTAAAACCATTCTATTTTTATAGTGTCGACCCCTAGAAATCATGATAAGTATAACTTTTTAAGTAGTTATTGTAAAAGTCAATAGATGTTAAATATTACAATTTGTGATTGAATGGTATCGTATGTGAATAAACTATTTACTCTATTACTAACTTTTTATAGAATATGAATAAAAAAAAATTGGCTGTTGAATAATGTGATATTATCTTAATTATGATGCATACAAAAGTTTAGATAAATCAAACGTTCATAGACTTGCAATTTAATTGTTACTGCCTCGTGACTTTGGTGTCAGGGTTTAAATTTTGGTAACAACCTTTTGTTTATTGGGGGTAAGGCTGAACACGTCTACCAATTCCAGACCCCACTAGGTGGGAGCCTATTACTCTGTCTGCCATTGGTAGAGTTGTTGATATACTGTGTCGGCTTTTGACATTTTAAAATGGCTAGGTTGCTACTTTGATGCATATAGCCAACTCCATCTATTTGGAAAAGACTTTTGTTGTGTTACGTTGAACTGATATTTGATTGGATTTGGTGTTGATGTAATGAAGCTGTGCTTAACATGTCTTTATTGGAAAATGGAAAGTGAATGTGGTTTTTTGATGTGAATACACAGTACAGCTGAGAAGAACAACATACCTTGGAGGGAAATGGCGAAAGAGATTTTAGAGTCAGAAGTGTATAGGGAGATGGACAGCATTCAAAACCAGTCTTTAGTGTACCCTGATTGTAATTTTCAGACTATTTATTTTTTACATTTTGTGTTACCTTTCTGCTCATCTTCTCGTTACTCTAGCATGCCATTGTAAATGATGGAGTGACTGTTCAATTCATTTCACAGATTATTTAAATCCATTCCATGCATATGAAGAGGGCAATCTTACATGGCTGGTATGTAGTAATTCAGAATTTTCCCATATGTCAATGGATAATTTGATTTGGCCACTCCTTTCTTGATTAGCAAACAAGTTATAACATGTTCCTGTTTGTTTGGTGTTTTGTTTACTTTCATAAGTTTAAATTTGATACTATTGAAGCTATGATGCTATTTTCAACCTCTGAAATGTAGACATGGCAGAAGCACCACAAAAGTTTTTATTCTATTTATGGATGATTTATGTCAAATATTCCCCCTTATTGATGTAAATGTATGATTGTGCCTTCTAACCTGGCATCCATCCAGTACAAACCTGGTAACAGACATTGCTGAACAATGTTTGTTGAAACATTTTCTTTTCGCTGGACGTATAGTGGCTTAATAATATGCTATGATTAAAGAATTAATCTGTTCTGTAGGTTATCATATTTGCATCATCGACTTTAGTGGCTTGCTTGTGAACACTAGTATCTTTTTCTTGCACTCTATTGACAGAATTATGAGATTTTCCTGTGTATTATATGATTTTTTCATTATTTATCAAATGTTTATATCCTAGGTGTCCCTTAGACTAGCTCTTTTGTTAAGTAGTTTCTCTTGTGGATGGAAATCTATCAGTAATTATTTTTTTACTAGTTTTCTGAAATAAAGAAATTATTATAAAATATGAATTCATGATTATAGGCGGCAGCAGAAGCAGAGGCTGCTACAATGTCAATGGCTAGAAGAGCACTTCCAGATGCTTCTTCTTTAGAGGAAGCAAATCAGATACTGCGTGGCAATTGGCTTCGTGCAATTGAACAACACCATACACAGTATTCAGAATCATCTGTGATTAGTGACATTCTAGATATTGGATGCTCGGTAGGTATAAGCACAAGATATCTTGCGGACAAGTTCCCCACAGCAAAAGTCACCGTGAGTGAGTTTTTTATGGATCAATGAAATTGCTTACTTATTCTTAATACTATATAATGATGGAGATTGGACAGTCAAAATAACATACAATCATTCTTGGCCAATTTGAATTTACCAAGAATAAAATAAGCCTTATACTTGGTATGGATGTGCCTCGTGAATTGTGATTTATATGTTTGTTCCAGGGGTTAGATCTGTCACCCTATTTTCTAGCTGTTGCTCAGCATAAGCAAAAGAAAGAAACGCCGAGAAAATTTCCTATAAGATGGATACATGCAAATGGGGAAGACACAGGCTTGCCTTCTGAATCATTCGACCTTGTTTCTATCGCTTTTGTGGTATGCTTTTTCTTTTCATGTTTAGTCCTTTATAGTGCATAACAAGGATTGAGTTTAGAGGAATGGGCTAGTTTCTCACAAAGTGACAAATCACAGTTCAAATTCTCACTGAGAGAAGCATCAATGTCTAGTATCTGACCATATATCGAACATGATTTATATCTATCAAAAAAACCCAAAAGTAATGTTTCAAAGAATATGTTATTTTTCTATATTATGTCAATCTAGTTAACAAAAATTGAGAATACAAAAGTCCCTCTGTACTGTTGAGAACAAAATTTCTTGATATGTGATAAAGTTACTGCAATCAGGTTCTACAAGGCATATGGATTTTTGAAGATTCATAGTATTGAAACACTGAACTCTATCTAGAGACTAACATTTTCCAGTGTACTTGCATTAAATCAAAAGTGGATTTCAATTTCATATCACCACATAGTTGAATAATCTTTTCATGAAGAGCATAACTTTTTTGCAAACATGTATTTTCTTTCTCTAGTGGGAGTCTTTCAAAGAAGTTTTGAATTTATAGCTACAGTCCAGGAAAGGGGTCATGCAATTAAAATAACAAACTCTGGGTGCTATTTCTCTTACGACTCTCAAGTCCTAACCAGCATTGTCTTTTGAATGCTGTTCCATTATGTTGCATGGATAAGTTTACCAATGATTCATAGGTACGTGTCTAGATACACGTTGGGTAGATACCCAAAATATTTTCCAAAACAAAAGTGGGTACTGAATTTGGATATACACGAATATGTTTTGATGGGTTTTTTGTATTTGTTTTGTAAATATATATTTTTAAAGAGGAACATGATTTAATTTTATTCCTGAGTTCTTTGTATATAAAGAAATTGTGATACAAAATTCAAATATTGATATGATTCCATTCTAAAAATAAGAAAACAAATTAAATCTAAATATTTAAAACATAAATAATAGATTCCTAACAAAACTAATTTATTTCTTCCTTATTGAACTAAAGATATTTAGGTATATTTTCAACACTTTTTGGTTACATGTATCATGCTCAGAACCAAATCTAATAAATAAAAACTAAATCTTTCAACAAAAAATTTAAAAGTATTAATTTAGTGTCTTGTTGAGATGAAACAAATTGAAATAGAGAACAGTGAGAAAACAATGTCTGCGCAAGTAACTTTATGCACCAGAACTACAAGTTTAAATCCACCTATGGAGGCAAGAGAAGAAGAGGCACAAAAGGGCCATTAGAAAAATCATTTAATAATGAGGCTAGAGATCATTTTATCTTGTGAAATAGTTATGCTATTTTGTTCTGTTGGTTTGCCATTCAATGTCATTAGAAATCCTTATTATGTTAGTGTCTTCACATGTGCTGCAAACACTTCTATATTAGGTTTTCTTCCACCTAGCTACAATGTTATAAGAACTATTCTTGAACAGAGAATAGACATATGTTAAAGTTATTCCAACTTCTCAATGTTACTTGGCCTGACAAAGATATAAGCATAGTAAGTGACTGATGCACAAAGAAGACCATTAATTAATTTCATGGCAGCCTTAGAATCTGGACCTATGTTACATACTTGAAGGTGCAAGAATTTGAGGCTGAAATTAATTAATGGTCTTCTTTAGGCATCAGTTAGTATGCTTATACCTTTTTTAGGCCAGGTGTCTTTGAGAGGTTGAAATAAATTTAATATATGCACCTTTTCTCTTTGCAAGAATGTAGTTCTTATAGCATTGTAGCTGGTTGGAAGAAAACTTGAGATAGAATTTTGTAGCATATGTGAAGGCACTACCATAATACAGATTTCTACCTATATTGAATGGAAAACCAGCAGAATAAAATAGTCTAGCTATTTCACAAGATAAATGATCTTTAGCCTCATTGCTAAATGTCTTTTCTAATGGTTCTTATGTGTCTTTTGCCTCCATCAACAGGTGGATTCAAACTTGTAGTTCTGGTGAACAAAGTACTTGCACATACTTTGCTTCTCAATGGCCCGTGTTTCAATTTGTTTCATCTCATTTAATACTTTTGATCAGTTAGTTATCCCATTACCTTTAACCTTCAATAAATGACTCTTCACTCTAATACAAGAACTCTTAGGGGATGCATTGCAATAGTTGCAACACCAACTTGCATCCTTTTTTCCATCTTTTTTATTTTGTAACGCAGATACGTAAACCCTAAATAGACTATTACCCTCAATATTTTTCGAGGCATATTGTTTAGTTGTAGGAAAATTTCCTGCGTCACTTGCAGACCCTTTATTAGATTGTTATGAAGACATTTGTAATAAAAATATGTGAAAAAAGATGTAGAACATGAACAAAGAGTTGAATAGATGCAACACGACAGACCATGAAAAATAATTTAATATTGAAGATTAATTGGAACTACATATCTTGAATGATTTGGGAGATTTAGTCTTGTACGGGATGGGAACCTCGTTGACTCGGTCAAAGGCCGAATACGACAAAACCAATCACACCCCTTCGTATGAAGACAAAACTGGGAGCCCCCAAACACCTTCTCGGCCATAGACCTGGCCGAACACTATCTCGGCCATGGACCAGGCCGAACACCAACTCCAGAGGTCAAACGGGGTACCTCCTAAACCCAATCGCTACTAGGCACCACCTCGGCCATGGACCAGGCCGAAGCCATGAACCGAGCCGAACACCTTCTCGGCCATGGACCTGGCCGATCAGTATCTCGGCCATGAACCAGGCCGAACACCAACTCCAGAGGTCAAATAGAGTACCTCCTAAACCCAATCGCTACTAAGCACCACCTCGGCCATGGACCAGGCCGAACACCATCCCGGCCAAGGATCAGGCCGAATAACTCGTCGGCTTCAGGGCCGACCGATGGACTTGACAAGAGGGTAATCCACTCAAGACACGTGGTAAATTAAATACCTGTTATGCAACGCATCAACCTTGATTAAAGGAAGCTTAAGGCTAACTAAAATATTACCCATCTCCCAAGAAAGAAGGCCCACCAGGCCCAAACATGTCATTATAAATACACAGGTGATGGGACATAAGTAGGTACGATTTATTCTGTATAAATACATTTATAGCTCTATACCGAACACTTACTTGATCGTCGGAGTACCTTTGCAGGTACCCTCCCCACACTTCCGAGACAACATCTGATCGGGACCGAAGACTCAGAAGCCCAAGAACCTAGAAGAGTAGGTAGAGTTAAGAGGCTAAAAGGAGAGAAGAAGGAAGAACTATCAGAGGAACTATCAGAGGAGTGTTTCTTCGCAGGAACATTTTGGCGCCCACCGTGGGGCCGAAACTATAACGGTTCTCAACCCCGGAAGCAAGATGGTAACTACGAGAAGTCAGCAAGAGAACGCAACCGACTACCCATTCGGGATGCCTCAAGGTACTCCTGTACGCCGGAACGAGGATGTGATGGAGGAGTCGTATGTAGACAGGTCCCAGCAACCCAACCCATCGTCGGCTATCGAACAGCTCAAGGCCGAAATGATGGAACTTAAAAGACTTAGAGAAAAGGACGCTCACGAGTTATCCGCCCTGAAAAGAGAAAACGCAGAACTCCGAAGCGATAACCGAACATGGCACCCGTCGCATGATAAGCCTAATCAGTCAACTAGGGACCAAGGCGAATCATCCGGATGGTACCAGGAAGCTAGCATCCCCCGACCTTCGGGTGTACCAACCATAACGACACAGGATCAACAACGACGGCAAGGAAGGACGCCGTTTACCCCAGACATTGCCGGGACTCGTTTGCCCGACAACTGGAAAAACTTAACTTTGGAGAAGTATGACGGAACCGCCGACCCGGAAGAACATCTAGATGCTTTCGTCACCCAAGTCGGCCTATACACAGATGAAGATGCCATTCTTTGCAAGGTTTTCCCCACCTCGCTTAAGGGGCCGGCACTCAGCTGGTTTACTAGGCTCCAACCAGGGTCGGTCGACTCGTTCCCGACTTTATCCTCTCGTTTCGTGATACAGTTCGCCACAAGCCGGCCTCATCAGCTCACATCCATTGCGTTGGTTAACATACGTCAAGAAAAGAAAGAACCCCTGAGAGCTTTCATGGAGAGGTTCGGAAAGATGACATTGTCTATTCGGAACTTGGACCCGGCTGTAGCGATGCATCACCTAACCACGGCCCTGCGACCCGGGCCGTTTGTCAATAGCTTATGCAAGAAACCACCCCGTGATCTAGACGAACTGCGGCAGAGGGCTACTAAGTACATGCAGATGGAGGAATTAGCCGAGTTCCGCAATCAAAGTCGGTCTGACCTATTTCTCGCTAAGAGAGAGAATGACAAGGAGCCACCCAGGTCTCGTCCTAGAGAAACAAACGATCGTGAGAAAAACGGTAGCAGAGGTCCGAGGTACATGCAATATACACCGCTCAACACCAGCAGGGCTAAGGTGTTGGAGCAAGCTCTCGCTACGGAAGTCTTAGCCGTTCCTCGAAGAGCCATGACACCCCCACGTGCCGACAAATCAAAAGTATGTCATTTTCACCGAAACAGGGGACATACCACCGAAGAATGCTCGGCCCTTCGCGATCGCATTGAGGATCTCGTCAAAGCGGGACACCTCCAGGGCTTTGTCCAAACAACAAACAACCCCAGACAGGAGAATCGTCCTCTCAGGGGCGAATATAGGAGAGAAAATCGGGAGCGGGCTTCGCGGCGGAATCGATCTCGCGAACGTAGCAGGTCCCGAGACAGAAGCGATCAGCGGGAGCAAAACCAACCCAGACGTGTCATAAACACTATATCCGGAGGTTTCGCAGGAGGAGGAAGTTCCTCTTCGGCCCGGAAGAGGCATCTGAGGGCCCTCGGATCAGTCAATGTAGTAGGGCGACCATCCCCCATTCGCATGCCTCCTATAACATTCACTGATCGAGACTTCCAGGGCATTGATCCAGTGCAGGATGATCCCATGGTCATCAGTGTAGAAATTGATAATTGCATTGTGAAGAAGACGCTGATTGATCAGGGGAGCTC